GACATTGCGCTGTCATAGTAGCTGAAAAATATTGTAAATGAGTGTTACGTTCCCCTAAAAAGGTTCAGGGGATGAGGGGGATGTAACAAAATGTGTCCAGGTCGAAAAAAGGAGACAGAGAGGCAAAAGAGCTTTTTTAAAGCTTATATTAAGGATGTACACTTACCTTTTACAAACAAATATGTGCCACTCCAGTTAGTCCTAATCCACTCTGTGAGCCCACAGTGATAGATTCCCTCGTCCTCTTGGACGGTCTTCAAAATAGTCACATTGCTGAAACTGTTATCATTATGTTGCTCAAATCTTGATTTAGAAAATGCAGGACCATATTCCGCTGGTGTAGATTTAAACGATGTCATAATTAACTTTAGGGTATCCCCGTGATTCTGCTTGTACCAGTGGACTTCTCCACTCTGGAGCCCTTTGGGCAAAGCACATGTTAAGGTCACTGGTTCACCAAGTTGAACTGTTTTCACTGGAACCAGAGAATCTGAGGTAAAATAAATAAAATTAAAAAAACATTAAAAAGCATTATGTACATGTAAAAGTCATCTCACAGATTGTTTATTCTAATAGTCCTCTATTGGTTAGCGTGTACAAGCGAAGACAATTATTAGAGAGAAGAATAATTAAAAAAGCACTTACATCCTCGATGAAGAAAAATCAGTGTAATCCATACCATGATCATCTTGACAGTGTCTTTTGTTAAGGATGTTGTTCATATTTTAGTGAGTGAAGGAGGTGGGATGGCCATATCTTTGGTGTAAAATGCATCTGATTGGTTATCAGATTCAAAGCACACTTCCTGTCCTTGGCTTAATGAAACAAGGCTGTCATTCATCTCTCATTGCAGCTATCCACATTAATTACTGTTTGTTTTTTTCGTTGGAAGGCCGGTTTGTGTATGACTTCTATTCTGAATTCCAGTCTTTCAACTTAAAAGAACTACTGCTGTTTGCGATATGTACTCTACTGCAAGAAATGTATTACATTGTGCATCTTAGAGGCAGATTCTTATTCTGGCAGACTTTGATAGGGCACAAAATAAATTTTTCCTTGCAAGAAGTAAAGATCAGGCTGACCGAATGTTGCCTTTAAAAGTGGTTTTGCACCTGTAAAAACCAGAATTAGTCTATTTTCTTAACAGATATCAAAGTATATCGTGTGAAAAGAAAAACAAAATCGCACATAATCACAGAGGAAGAATCAGAATAATGCTGATCTTAAACTACACGATTTAAGCTAAAAATTTACTCACTCACATACAAACAACAACAGTTGTACTGCAAAGTAATTCTGGCAGACTTTGTATAACAACACAGCTGTGTAAGGAAGAGAGAAAGCTGTGCTGGTTGGTGGGTTCTTAGAGGAGTGGAATGAAGACAGGCAAGCTTTTTAACAGAGAGCGTAGAAAGTGGAGAACTAACCATCACACTAAAAAGTGCAAGAGAAAAATCTGACACATGGGAACCTTTATGATCCAATTTGAATTAGGTCATAAAGGTTGTAACTAGGGATGGGTATCGTTTAGGTTTTATCCGATACCGGTGCCAAATCGGTACTTTTGAAACGGTGCCGGTGCTTAAACGGTGCTCGAACCGGTGCTTAAAGAATGGAGAACACAAACTTTGTCCAAAAACCTCTCATGTTCAGCTGTTTTTTTTTGTAAAAAGATAACAATGTTAGCCTTTTCTGCAGCTATGGGGCATATATGGTATCACTCTTGGCTGGAAGCAGTGCTTAAACAATGGAAAAAACACAAACTTTGTCCAAAAACCTCTCATGTTTAGCTGTTTTCCACTTTTTCTTTGGTCATTTTAGCCTTTTTGGCCAGGGTGAAGGGAGTATCTGCCATCAAACAAGAAGACAGCCGCATGTAACTACGATGGTGTTTGCTAGTTCACCTTACATGCATTAATGTAATAACGTGGTTAGCCTACTCAACGTAAATTACACACGAACAACATTAAGCTACTCACGCAGAGAAGAACGGCTGCTGCCATCAGTAGATTTGAGGTGTTACCTCCTTTGACAGTATCACAGTATCAGCTTAAAGCACTTGTTGCAGGCTGCTGAGTTTGCATCTTTTGCTGTGAAGTACAGCCAGACTTTTGACCGCTTCGCCTTGGGCATTTTTAATCTGTAGCTCTGCTCTAAAAGAACGTACGTACCTGGCCCGCCTACTATCCTCGGAAACGTAAAATGATTGGCTAGAATCCAAAGTGTATCACAGCTCAGGAAAAAAAAAGCACCGAAATAAAGCACCGAAATGTGCGCTGCTTTTGGTCTGGTTACTACCGTTTATGTCAGAACCGGTGCACCGGTACCCATCCCTAGTTGTAACACATATAAGGCATGAATGCTATTTAGTAAGCTTAAATATTGCTGGGACTCGATGACTTCATCTTGGGTGTATACTTTGTTTGTACTGCCAGGTCTACGCCCAAACAAACAAGACATGAAAATTGTGAGAAATGAGGTTGGACTAGAAGTAACTGACTTTAGTATTGAAATGTGAAAAGCAAAGTGTTTAGGACAATAAAGGAAAATAAAGCAAGAGAAGAGTTTCTCAGAATTTGTCACCAAAATATTAATCTTGAAAAAAAAAAAACGGTTTTTTGGTCTAATGGCAGAAAGTGGTGAGAGTAAGTTGTCATAATTTTTTCTCCTTTTTTTCAGCGTGTGGGGGGGGAATGGGTCTAAAACATCGATACTGCTTCTTACTAACAGATATAAAGCAAATATTAGAGCAATACTGAATAAAACAACTCTTTTTCCTGTCCTGTTTAATCCATTGATTAGTGGCTTAATTGATTATGTAGCTTAGGAAGCTGTGCAGCTAACAGGTCACACAACATACCAGGCTACCAGAGCAAGTGACTCCGGTAAGGCCAGCGGGAGAGGACTGTATGTGTATACAAACAACAGAAGGTGCACACACACTAAGATTACCAACACTCAGTGCTCCCTGGACTTGAAGTATTTGACTGTTACGTGTCGCCCCTTTTATCTACCTGGAGAACTCAGGGGTAATGATTACTACTGTAATACTTTAGCCACCTGCTAAATGCTATTAGCAAGCAACATCCTTAACATGGTGAAACCAACTGCTAGAGTTCTAGTGAGGCCCAAGAGAACATCTGAACAGCTTTGGGGCTGCTTTGATTGAACTGACTGGTCTAGTTTTAAGGATGATGACATCTACACTTACACTGTACTCCTCTATTATAAGAAGTTGTACGACACGATCACTACCACAAAACATATTTCCCTTCTCTAACAACGAGCTGTGGATAATGAAAGATGTCCGAGTCCTGCTTAAGGCCCTTAACATGGTTTTCAGATCTGATGGCATACAACAATATAGTGTTGTCAGGTCTGGTTTGAAGAGGGGCATCAGAGATGCCAAGGTAGATGGATTGATTATTTTATAGCACATTTCTACTCTGTCTGAGACTTAAAGAGACGTGAATTAAAGCTTTTATGTTCACTTCCCACTGCCTTGAGGAAGTCACAAAGATCTTAAAGGACTCATCCCATCCTGCCCATCATCTGTTCAACCTGGTGCTCTCCATCAGTAAAACCACAGACAGATTGTCTAACTGTTTTTAACATTTTTTAAGTCATCAAATATTAAAATATTAGTTATATGAAGTATTTGCAAGGTAAATCATTGTCGAAACAAAAAAACCCAAACAGGTTGGATCACTATTTTGAGAAAGAAAAGAAATAAAGAGAAGAGAACAAAACAAAAAAATAAGGACAGAAGCAAATATTTTTTAGTGCACTGCATTTGTAAGTTCGTCATTCGTATAACCACAGTAAACATGTGCTGCTCACATTGAACATCATGTGTGCTTCAGTTTAATTGATCTTTAAATGTTGTCCTGACTACCTGCTTGGCAGACCACAGTACTCACCACAGTGAATACTGGTGTTGTAGTTTTAGTTGTGCTCTAATAGTGCTTTAAGAGGAAACCAAAGTATCTTCTTATAGTGAAATAAAAGTGCTACAAATCACACCAAAAGCCACAGTTTGGTACTAGAAAGTGTTTTATTTATTTACATATTATGATGGTCCAAGAAAACATCTCTAAAAATGTGTTCCTCCACTTCACTACAAGTGCATCCCCACTTAGGTCTTTACGTTTGACAACAGTAGTTTTCTTTACATAGTATTGTATAACTCAGCCTTTTGCTTTTGTGAAAGTAAGCCTGAGACTTAATTTAGAAAAGTGTAAAGTAATGTCCCTAGCCAGACTGAAAAGGTTGCATGCATGTATACAGATGTAGAAGTTTATGCTTAAACAGAAGTTTAACTAAAATACATTTTTAAGCTTACAATGGTATCTAATATACCTAATATTAGGTGTACTCTACTGTGACATAAAAGAAACACCTAAATTATTCAGTGGATCCAAAAGGCTCATTAATCCAGCCCAAAGGCCTTGACAGCAGTGTAGAGTCTCTCCCTCTCAGCTGCATCTGTTGTCCCACCTCTGCCAGTTCCCATCATGGCAAAGACTGCAGCAGAGTAAAACCACACATCCTCTGCTTTCTAAGGGGAAAAAACAAAATGTCAAAAGTAACATTTCATTCTGATGAGGTTAATTCAGCCTTTTACTACTTTACCTGTTGAGTTTTCTGGATACCAGTGTTTTTTCGCAGGGGAACAACACCTACATTATGGAATATGAAAAAAAAAACAAGAACTATGAATGCAGCAATTCAAATATAATGCTGTTTTCTGAATAGCTGCTATTACCTTATGCAATTATCCTGCTGTATTTTCTTGCATTGCAGCAATCAGGACAGCTATAACAATCAGAGCATATAGTCAAGACAGCACACAGCATAAGAATAACTGTCACTGGCACCCTGTGACCATAATGCTGCTTCCTGGAACAATATGAATAAAAAAATCTGACAGCTACAGTGTATCAAAATGTTTTAATTGATAGACCGGTGATTGCGTTACCATGAATGTCTGGCTTAGTTCCAGATGATACTGTCGAACTCTGAGCAACAGAAGAGTTGGAAATGCTCTGATTTTTTCCTGCTGGACATAAAGGGTTTTTTTTTAAGTTATACAAGCTTTGTTATAAATTTTTAATTTTGGAATTGTGTATATTAAATTAGAGGCACACTATTTTTTAAAAAAAAATAATTTTAAATTAATACTCTACTACTAATAATATTGCCAAAATAATAACAAATGTGCATTTAAAACAAATAAAGTTAGATTCTGGTGAAAAACACAATAAAAAGAAATAAAACAAAATAAAAAAATATTAAAAATGAGAAATATTTTGAAATGTACTGATTTTGTCATTACCTTTTATTAATAAATGCATCCCAGTCCATATAATGTCTGCAAGCCACTCGGAGACTCCACAGTGATACATTCCCTCATCTTCTTGAATTGTCCTCAAAATGGTCAGGTTACTAAAACTGCTGTTGCTTTTTATCTCCCATCTGGATTTAGGAAAATCTTGTGCATACTCAGGTGGTTTAGATTTCCGCACTGTCACAATTATTTTCAGTGTATCCCCGGCACTCTGTTTATACCAGTGGACTTGTCGAGGGAGGACCTCTGTGTGAGGTAGACTACAGATGAAGGTTGCAGGTTCTCCAGCTTGAACAGTGATTTGTGAAACCAGTGCATCTGACATAACACATTAAAGCACATTGAGTAACAATATATGATCCAATATGACTAGGCTGACATGCATGTCTTGACTATGAGCATTTAAGACTGAATAAAAAAGCACTTACATCCTTGATGAAGAAGATTCAGTGCAATCCAAAACACAATCATCTTCACATTGTCTTCTTCTTGGAGACTTGTCGATAATCAGCAACGTAGGTCGATAGGTCAGACTGCTGAGTACATTAAACGTGCACTTCCTGTGACACAACTTGGAGTGCCTTGCATTTAGGTGGGTGTAGTCACCCTCAACTAGCCTTTCAGTTTTAAAAAGATGTCTTTGTGTGAATGACTTTTGGATTCTCAGGACATTTTGTGTCATTTATTACTGTGTAATGCACTTGAAATGTTGTTTTGATTGGGAAGGAATAGTCATCATTAGTGCAGCAGAAATGGCCATGCAACAAACATTGCTGCTTGCTCCTATTTTCACCTCTCTCTGTATTACATAGAACACTTTATTTTAACACCTTTTTCAAGCCAAATGTACAAGAGGAAATGTGTGTGCCTCGTGCACAGAGTGAGACACTGTGAACTAGACATTCTTTGCTGGCATGTTGCAAGAAATTTTTGCATGCTTGTTAAAGCCACTTTGGATAATCCTAAAATCTGAATGATAACAGTATTTTGTGGTTAAGCTGTAACATTTCGCAAATATAACAGTAGCAAAATAAGTGAAGGATGGAGTATGGTATGTTAGGATCTAGTAAGAATTTGGTAGCAAAAGCTTAAAAGAAAAAACAGGCACAATGGAAACATCTTTAAGGCAGTTTTTTTTTTCCTACAATGTCCCAAAGAAAATCCCACGAGTCCAATGTTTGGATGTGTAATGTATTACAAGGAACATGCGTCATTGTCGTCGCTTTCCTGTGCTTCTTCTCTCTTTGTCAGTTTTCTCCCTGTAAATGTTATTGTACAGTTAACCAAAAACACCTTATTTTTCCTGATAAAGTGCAAAATAAAAAATTTTTTTTTTTTTTTTTTTTTTTTTTGGCCTGTCCCGTTTGGCTCTTTTGCATCAGAATTGTTGTCTAAAGGCAAAGAAAGATACCCAACGGATTTTACTTTACCAAACTGACCATCCCAGCCTTGCCGTAATGGTCCATTTGATTCACCTTTTATTGTTTATTTTATTTTCACTTACTGAATACGGGACAGACTTGACTGGGGGAAAGAAGGGGAGAAAGAAAGAGGGAAAGAGAAACAGCTGAGAAGAGGGACGGGGGAGAAGGGCAAAAGACAAAAACCAACAAAACGGGCAGAGGAAAAAAAAATGCATATATCAATCACCTGGATCACCTGCTGAGAAAGAAAAAAGAGAGCAAGGTGTTGACAGAGTGAGAGACTGAACACTGGAAAGTCACTGTGTCTCCTGGATGGATTGGATTTGATCCTGTCAGCTGTTGAACAACTACTGATGCTTTCTGATTGTTTCCTGTGTAATAAAAATGCAAAGACATTGCGCTGTCATAGTAGCTGAAAAATATTGTAAATGAGTGTTACGTTCCCCTAAAAAGGTTCAGGGGATGAGGGGGATGTAACAAAATGTGTCCAGGTCGAAAAAAGGAGACAGAGAGGCAAAAGAGCTTTTTTAAAGCTTATATTAAGGATGTACACTTACCTTTTACAAACAAATATGTGCCACTCCAGTTAGTCCTAATCCACTCTGTGAGCCCACAGTGATAGATTCCCTCGTCCTCTTGGACGGTCTTCAAAATAGTCACATTGCTGAAATTGTTATCATTATGTTGCTTAAATCTTGATTTAGAAAATGCAGGACCATATTCCGGTGGTGTAGATTTAAACGATGTCATAATTAACTTTAGGGTATCCCCGTGATTCTGCTTGTACCAGTGGACTTCTCCACTCTGGAGCCCTTTGGGCAAAGCACATGTTAAGGTCACTGGTTCACCAAGCTGAACTGTTTTCACTGGAACCAGAGAATCTGAGGTAAAATAAATAAAATTAAAAAAACATTAAAAAGCATTATGTACATGTAAAAGTCATCTCACAGATTGTTTATTCTAATAGTCCTCTATTGGTTAGCGTGTACAAGCGAAGACAATTATTAGAGAGAAGAATAAAAAAAAGCACTTACATCCTCGATGAAGAAAAATCAGTGTAATCCATACCATGATCATCTTGACAGTGTCTTTTGTTAAGGATGTTGTTCATATTTTAGTGAGTGAAGGAGGTGGGATGGCCATATCTTTGGTGTAAAATGCATCTGATTGGTTATCAGATTCAAAGCACGCTTCCTGTCCTTGGCTTAATGAAACAAGGCTGTCATTCATCTCTCATTGCAGCTATCCACATTAATTACTGTTTGTTTTTTTCGTTGGAAGGCCGGTTTGTGTATGAGTTCTATTCTGAATTCCAGTCTTTCAACTTAAAAGAACTACTGCTGTTTGCGATATGTACTCTACTGCAAGAAATGTATTACATTGTGCATCTTAGAGGCAGATTCTAATTCTGGCAGACTTTGTATAACAACAGAGCTGTGTAAGGAAGAAAGAAAGCTGTGCTGGTTGGTGGGTTCTTAGTGGAGTGGAATGAAGACAGGCAAGCTTTTTAACAGAGAGCGTAGAAAGTGGAGAACTAACCATCACACTAAAAAGTGCAAGAGAAAAATCTGACACATGGGAACCTTTATGATCCAATTTGAATTGGGTCATAAAGGTTGTAACTAGGGATGGGTATCGTTTAGGTTTTATCCGATACCCGTTGTTAGAGAAGGGAAATATGTTTTGTGGTAGTGATCGTGTCGTACAACTTCTTATAATAGAGGAGTACAGTGTAAGTGTAGATGTCATCATCCTTAAAACTAGACCAGTCAGTTCAATCAAAGCAGCCCCAAAGCTGTTCAGATGTTCTCTTGGGCCTCACTAGAACTCTAGCAGTTGGTTTCACCATGTTAAGGATGTTGCTTGCTAATAGCATTTAGCAGGTGGCTAAAGTATTACAGTAGTAATCATTACCCCTGAGTTCTCCAGGTAGATAAAAGGGGCGACACGTAACAGTCAAATACTTCAAGTCCAGGGAGCACTGAGTGTTGGTAATCTTAGTGTGTGTGCACCTTCTGTTGTTTGTATACACATACAGTCCTCTCCCGCTGGCCTTACCGGAGTCACTTGCTCTGGTAGCCTGGTATGTTGTGTGACCTGTTAGCTGCACAGCTTCCTAAGCTACATAATCAATTAAGCCACTAATCAATGGATTAAACAGGACAGGAAAAAGAGTTGTTTTATTCAGTATTGCTCTAATATTTGCTTTATATCTGTTAGTAAGAAGCAGTATCGATGTTTTAGACCCATTCCCCCCCCACACGCTGAAAAAAAGGAGAAAAAATTATGACAACTTACTCTCACCACTTTCTGCCATTAGACCAAAAAACCGTTTTTTTTTTTTCAAGATTAATATTTTGGTGACAAATTCTGAGAAACTCTTCTCTTGCTTTATTTTCCTTTATTGTCCTAAACACTTTGCTTTTCACATTTCAATACTAAAGTCAGTTACTTCTAGTCCAACCTCATTTCTCACAATTTTCATGTCTTGTTTGTTTGGGCGTAGACCTGGCAGTACAAACAAAGTATACACCCAAGATGAAGTCATCGAGTCCCAGCAATATTTAAGCTTACTAAATAGCATTCATGCCTTATATGTGTTACAACTAGGGATGGGTACCGGTGCACCGGTTCTGACATAAACGGTAGTAACCAGACCAAAAGCAGCGCACATTTCGGTGCTTTATTTCGGTGCTTTTTTTTTCCTGAGCTGTGATACACTTTGGATTCTAGCCAATCATTTTACGTTTCCGAGGATAGTAGGCGGGCCAGGTACGTACGTTCTTTTAGAGCAGAGCTACAGATTAAAAATGCCCAAGGCGAAGCGGTCAAAAGTCTGGCTGTACTTCACAGCAAAAGATGCAAACTCAGCAGCCTGCAACAAGTGCTTTAAGCTGATACTGTGATACTGTCAAAGGAGGTAACACCTCAAATCTACTGATGGCAGCAGCCGTTCTTCTCTGCGTGAGTAGCTTAATGTTGTTCGTGTGTAATTTACGTTGAGTAGGCTAACCACGTTATTACATTAATGCATGTAAGGTGAACTAGCAAACACCATCGTAGTTACATGCGGCTGTCTTCTTGTTTGATGGCAGATACTCCCTTCACCCTGGCCAAAAAGGCTAAAATGACCAAAGAAAAAGTGGAAAACAGCTAAACATGAGAGGTTTTTGGACAAAGTTTGTGTTTTTTCCATTGTTTAAGCACTGCTTCCAGCCAAGAGTGATACCATATATGCCCCATAGCTGCAGAAAAGGCTAACATTGTTATCTTTTTACAAAAAAAAACAGCTGAACATGAGAGGTTTTTGGACAAAGTTTGTGTTCTCCATTCTTTAAGCACCGGTTCGAGCACCGTTTAAGCACCGGCACCGTTTCAAAAGTACCGATTTGGCACCGGTATCGGATAAAACCTAAACGATACCCATCCCTAGTTACAACCTTTATGACCTAATTCAAATTGGATCATAAAGGTTCCCATGTGTCAGATTTTTCTCTTGCACTTTTTAGTGTGATGGTTAGTTCTCCACTTTCTACGCTCTCTGTTAAAAAGCTTGCCTGTCTTCATTCCACTCCTCTAAGAACCCACCAACCAGCACAGCTTTCTCTCTTCCTTACACAGCTGTGTTGTTATACAAAGTCTGCCAGAATTACTTTGCAGTACAACTGTTGTTGTTTGTATGTGAGTGAGTAAATTTTTAGCTTAAATCGTGTAGTTTAAGATCAGCATTATTCTGATTCTTCCTCTGTGATTATGTGCGATTTTGTTTTTCTTTTCACACGATATACTTTGATATCTGTTAAGAAAATAGACTAATTCTGGTTTTTACAGGTGCAAAACCACTTTTAAAGGCAACATTCGGTCAGCCTGATCTTTACTTCTTGCAAGGAAAAATTTATTTTGTGCCCTATCAAAGTCTGCCAGAATAAGAATCTGCCTCTAAGATGCACAATGTAATACATTTCTTGCAGTAGAGTACATATCGCAAACAGCAGTAGTTCTTTTAAGTTGAAAGACTGGAATTCAGAATAGAAGTCATACACAAACCGGCCTTCCAACGAAAAAAACAAACAGTAATTAATGTGGATAGCTGCAATGAGAGATGAATGACAGCCTTGTTTCATTAAGCCAAGGACAGGAAGTGTGCTTTGAATCTGATAACCAATCAGATGCATTTTACACCAAAGATATGGCCATCCCACCTCCTTCACTCACTAAAATATGAATAACATCCTTAACAAAAGACACTGTCAAGATGATCATGGTATGGATTACACTGATTTTTCTTCATCGAGGATGTAAGTGCTTTTTTAAATTATTCTCTCTCTCTAATAATTGTCTTCGCTTGTACACGCTAACCAATAGAGGACTATTAGAATAAACAATCTGTGAGATGACTTTTACATGTACATAATGCTTTTTAATGTTTTTTTAATTTTATTTATTTTACCTCAGATTCTCTGGTTCCAGTGAAAACAGTTCAACTTGGTGAACCAGTGACCTTAACATGTGCTTTGCCCAAAGGGCTCCAGAGTGGAGAAGTCCACTGGTACAAGCAGAATCACGGGGATACCCTAAAGTTAATTATGACATCGTTTAAATCTACACCAGCGGAATATGGTCCTGCATTTTCTAAATCAAGATTTGAGCAACATAATGATAACAGTTTCAGCAATGTGACTATTTTGAAGACCGTCCAAGAGGACGAGGGAATCTATCACTGTGGGCTCACAGAGTGGATTAGGACTAACTGGAGTGGCACATATTTGTTTGTAAAAGGTAAGTGTACATCCTTAATATAAGCTTTAAAAAAGCTCTTTTGCCTCTCTGTCTCCTTTTTTCGACCTGGACACATTTTGTTACATCCCCCTCATCCCCTGAACCTTTTTAGGGGAACGTAACACTCATTTACAATATTTTTCAGCTACTATGACAGCGCAATGTCTTTGCATTTTTATTACACAGGAAACAATCAGAAAGCATCAGTAGTTGTTCAACAGCTGACAGGATCAAATCCAATCCATCCAGGAGACACAGTGACTTTCCAGTGTTCAGTCTCTCACTCTGTCAACAAGACGTGTCCAGGAGGTCTCAGAGTTCTTTGGTTCAGAGACAGATCTCATGAATCTCATCCAGTCATTTACGCTGATGTAAATACACATGATGAATGTGAGAATCGATCTGAGACTCAGAAGAGATGCATTTATCGCTTCTCTAAGCACGTCAGCTCCTCCGATGCTGGGACTTACTACTGTGCTGTGGCCACATGTGGGGAGATATTATTTGGAAATGGAACTAAACTGGATATTCACGGTACCTGTACCACTCATCTTTTAATTTGAAAATTAGAATTTTTAAGTTTAAAATTTGTAAATTTCAGCTGAATTTAGCAGCATTTTGGTGTAAAACAAGTATTTTCTATTTCACAGCAATCTCATTAGGAGATGACATTAAACTTATTTAATTTTGCATCCACTCTAAAGGGAAAATTGTATCATTCTGCTTTCCATTACTTCAAAAAGGGGAAAAAATTATAAACTAACAAACACATGTTTTGTTTTTTTCTTTGTCGTTCCAGGAGACTACTCATGGTCAAAGAGCGCCAGCACAGTTATTTTTCTACTGTGTGCTTTACTGGCGATATGTCTGATTGTTATAGCTGTCCTTATTTGCACATCAAAGAAAAACAGCATGGATAACTGTGAAGGTAATTAAAGTTAATCATAGCAATCTTATCAATGAATTTAAGTAAAATGTTTTTAATTTGAATTCATTGTTATCTGTATTATTCTGCAATATTAAGGTTCTGCTGATTCTGCAGAACAATACTTTAGGATCAGAGAAGTACAATACAGCGTAAACAGTACTTTAAACACTAGGGCTGTTCCTAATTTAAAAAAGTCCTACATTGTGTTTAGGTTTTAACATTTCCCATATTTTTCTTTGATTGATTTTCCTAGAATAAGCACACTTGGATGTTTTCTGCTGCTGTCTTTACCCTGATGAAAGCTGAGAGAGGTGCATTAAAGGATGGAAAAATGTCGAAAAGGCAGCGACTCTACATGGCTTGCAAGGCTTTGGGGCTGGATTAGTGAATTAGCTAGCCTATTGAGTATGCAATAATTGAGCTGATGTTTGCTTTTTAATAATGGGCTTCTTATCTCTTTTAGTATTCAATACAGTATATGTTATATCAGCATGCTTATTTGTATTTAGATTGAATTATCTGCAGACACTGCATTGATGCATGAATGCTGTTGCATGAACTGTGTGCAAAAGTCAAAGGCAGAAATGTAATTTCAGTTCTGTAATGTATCAACTGTACTAAAATTCTGCAACATGAATAAATATAATGCTTAAAAGAGAAATTTGTTTGTGAAATTATTCTATAAATAGGCTTTAATAGATGACCACCCTGGATAGGTTGTCAGTCTATCACATGGCTAACATGGAGATGCATACAACCATTAACACCTATGATTCATTTTTATTATAACAGTCTAAATGCAAGACTTAACTTGCATACTATGCTAGAAATAGTGTGCTATTAATAGGGAATTTAATGATAATGTGTTGATAAAATTAAAAGTAGTG